AGCTGCTTAGGATCTCGCTCCCTCTGCCTTCTCCCTGTTCATGCTCTCTCTTTCTCTCTAATATTAAAAAAAGAAGAAAAATGTGTTCAAACTCAACCTGCTATCAACTGAAAGTAGACTGTTTCTTATATAGGCAGTTATACATGAGCCTCATGGTAATCACAATGCTAAAACCTAGAGTAGATACACAAAATATAATGAGAGAGGAATCTAAACATAACACTAAAGAAAGTCATCAAATCACAAGGGAAGACAGCAAAATAATAAGGGTATAGAGAGGAATTACAAAACAACTAGAAAACAACAAACAAAATGGCAATAAGTACACATTTATCAGTAATTACTTTAAATGTAAATGAACTAAATTTCCCAATCAAAAGACATAGATTGACTGAATGGGTAAAATAAAAATAAGCCCCATCTCTGTATTGCCTAGTAGAGGCTCACCTCAGATGTAAGGACACACACAGACTGAAAGTTAAGGTATAGAAAAAGATGTCCCATGAAAATGGAAATCAAAAGAAAGCTAGGTAACTATTTTTATGAGACAAAATAGACCTTAAAACAAGATTGTAATAATGACAAGGATGGGAATTACATAACAATAAATTGGCGAATACAACAAGAATATATAACATTTGTAAATATTTATATGCCCAACATAAAATTGTATAAATAGACGCAATAAATGTTAACAGAGCTAAAGGAAAAAAATGAGAGCAATACAATAATAATAGAAACTCTTAACACCCCACTTACATCAATGGACAGAACACCCAGATAGAAAATCAACAAGAAAACATTGGCCTTAAATGACACATTAAAGCAGATGGTTTATATATACAGAACAAATATATACAGAATATTCCATATATATATATATATATACATATATATATATATATATATATGTATATATATATATATATACACACACACAGAACATTCCATCAAAAAGCAGCAGAATATACATCCTTCTCAAGTGGACCATAGAACATTCTCCAAGATAGATCATATGTTAGTCCCAAAATAAGTCATAAAGAATTTAAGAAGATTGGAATTATACCAAGCATATGTTCTACCATAATGGTAGGAAACTAGAAATTAATTATAAGAAAATTCAGAAATATATAGAAATTAAACAATATGCTACTGAATGACCAATGGTTGACAAAGAAATTAAAGGAGAGATTAAAAAAAATATGTTGATACAAATGAAAAGGGAAATGCAACATACCAAAATCTATAGGATACAGCAAAACTAAAAGAGGAAATTAAGAAAACAATTCCACAACTGCACAAAAAGAATAAAACATATAGGAACAAGTTTAACTGAGGAAGTGAAAGACCTGTATACTGCAAACTATAAGACATTGATGACATAAATTGAAGAAGAAACAACTAAATGAAAATTTATTTCATGGTAATGGACTGTATTAATTAATATTGTTAAAATGTCCACATTAACCAAGGCAATCTACAGATTCCTTGCAATATCTATAAAATTTCAATTGCATTTTTCACAGAAAAAGAAGAAATAATCCTAAAATGTTTATGGAGCCACAAAGGATTCTGAATAGTCAAAGCAATCTTGAGAAAGAACAAACAGGGACACATTATGCTTTCTGATTTCAAACTATATTATGAAACTATAATAATCAAAATAGTATGGTACTAGCATTAAAAAGACACATAGATCAGTGAAACACAACATATAGCCCAGAAAGAAACCCACACATATATGGTCAGTCAATTAATTTAGAACAAAAGAGCCAAGTATATATAATAGGAAAGACAGTCTATAATAAATGGTGTTGGGAAAACTGGACAGCCACACAAAAGAATGAAATAAGACTTCTTATACCATGCACAAGAGTTAAATGGATGAAAGATTTGAATCTATGACCTGAAACCATAAAGCTCCTTTAAAAAAGAAAAAAGGTGGTGAGCTTCTAGACCTAAGTCTTGGCCATGATTTTTTGGATATGACTCCAAAGCCTAGGGCAACAAAACCAAAAAATAAACGTTAGGACTACTTCAAACTAAAAACAAAAACAAAAAAGAAGACAAACAAACAAACAAAAACTTCTGCACTGTGAAGGAAACCATCAACAAAATGAAAGAGAAACCTTTTGAATGGGAGGAGAGTAAATATCCAAAATATATAAGAACTCATACATCTCAATATCAAAAAACCTAAAATCTAAGAATGGGCAGAGGACCCGAGTAAACATTTTTTTTCCAAAGAAGACATACATATAGCCAACAAGCACATGAAAAGATGCTCAGTATCACTAATCATCAGTGAAATGCAAATCAAAATCACAATGAGATATCAACTCACATCTGTTAGATGGCTATTATAAAAAAAATATAAGAAATAGTAAGTGTTGGGGAGGATGCTGAGAAAAGGGAAATTTTGTGCAGTGTTGGTAGGAATGTATATTGTACAGCCACTATGGAAAACAGTATGGTGTTTCCTCAAAAAATTGAAAACAAAACAAAACATATGATCCAGCAATTCCATTTCTGGGTATTTATCCAAAGAAAACAAAGATACTAATTCAAAAAGGCATAAATACCCTTATGTTCATTGCAATATTATTTACAGTAGCCAGAGTATAGAAGCAACCTAAGTGTCCATCAATAGATAAATGGATAAAGAAGATGTGAGATACATATATATGTTACACACACACACACACACACACACACACACACACA